GACATGTCCATCCTGGGCCTCCTGCAGTGCCACAACGATGCCACCCGAAGGTTGCAGGAACAGCAACTCATATTCCGCTTGGGAACCCTGCAGCCCAATGGTATCAATGTGGATTTCACAAGTTTTAAAATCTCCCCTCCCCCCACCGCATCCCAAAACCAGTCCAGCTCGTCCCTGCCTCCCTAACCTGTTCTTCCTCCCATCTATCCCCTCCTCCCACCTCAAGCCGCACCTCCATCTCCTACCGACCAACCTCATCCCGCCCCCTTGACCTGTCCGTCCTCCCTGGACTGACCTATCCCCTTCCTAACTCCCTACCTACACTCACCTTTCCTGGCCCCATCCCCGCCTCTTCGACCTGTTTGTTTCTTCTCCACCTATCCTCTCCTCCATCCCTCTTCTATCCGCCTCCCACTCTCTCCCTATTTATTTCAAAACCCCCTTCCCCTCCCCTTTTCTGATGAAGGGTCTAGGCCCGAAACGTCAGCCTCTCTGCTCCTATGATGCTGCTTGGCCTGCTGTGTTCATCCAGTCTTGCACCTTGTTGTCTCCTGCTCTATAAACTACTTTTGAACTTGTAATTTGATCACTTAATTGCATGTATTTCTCATCCATAACTTTTCTCGTGGGAGTAATTGCACCATATAGATATTCAAAGTAATATTTCATCATAGATGCCTCACTGACCTGTTGAGTATTTTCTGTTACTGAATAAAATACTATTGGGTATTCCAATTTGTCTTTACTTTGTCTTTGATTGTGACATTTAAGTAAGTTTGCAGTATTGTACATGCTATTCTATGGTGATTGGCTGTAAGTGTACTAATCAAAATAATTTGAGCTGAGTGATGTATGACAGTTCGAAGGTGAGCTAATCAGCCAGTGTATAAATTTTAAGATATGACTTACAGATACCTTCTGTGCATTTAAGAAAAATAGAAAATATTAGGTTAGTGCTGATATCCCAAATTTTTTGGTGTGAGTTGTTTTGTTACGTTGTGAAATTTGTGATGTATAATGTGGTAAACCTGGTGCACTAAGAATAGTTTAGCATTCGCTTGCAAGAAAATCTTACATCTAGCAGTTTAAAAATATTCATACAGCTTTGTGCATTGATGAGTGTATCAAATCATGAAAAATTCCCCTTACACTTGTAGGACTTGAGTGTCACTGTCTGGGCCAGCATTCATTGCCTATCCCTCGCTGCCCTCGAGGAGGTAGCGGTGAGCTACTTTGAACTGCTGTAGTCCATGTACTGTTGGTAGACCCACAATGTTGTTAGGGAGGGATTTTCAGGATTTTGACCCAATGATCCTGAAGGAGCAGCAATATATGTCCGAGTCAGGATGGTGAATGGCTCAGAAGGGATCCTGAAGGTGATGGATCTGCTACCGTTGTCCTTCTATTTTTATTTTCTTTATTCATTCACAGGATAAGGGCATCGCTGGCTAGGCCAGCATTTATTGCCCTTAATTGCCTAGAGGGCAGTTAAGAGTCAACTACATTGCTGTGGATCTGGAGTCACGTGTAGGCCAGACCAGGTAAGGAAGGCAGTTTCCTTCCCTAAAGGACATTAGTGAACCAGATAGGTTTTTCCTGACAATTGGAAATGGATTCATGGTCATCATTTGATTCTTAATTCCAGATATTTATTGAATTCAAATTCTACCATCTGCCATGATGGGATTCGAACCCGGGTCCCCAGAACATTATCTGGGTCTCTGGATTAACAGTCCAGTGATAATACAACCAGGTCATTGCCTCCCCCCACCCTCCAGATGGTGGGTATGGCTTGTCTAGTCTTTATGGAAGCATACAGAAAGTTTGCAATCAATATCTGGAAACTGGTTTTATGTTAGTGGTTTCACAAAACTCCAATCTTGGAGATTTTCATAAATGCATTTTGAATAAACAATAACACGTATTCCTGATTTTCCTAACATACATAAAATATATCAAGGAAACCCATTTTTCATTAATTTTGATGTAATAATAAAATCATGTTTACCATTTTCTACAACAAATAGGAACTGTGGAAGTTAAGTTTGCAAGTTCTCCTGAATATTAGGTGTGTTCAAAAGATCAGCAAAATAATTCACAAGTTAATATCAAATGAAGCTGCTTCAGCAATGGATATGCAAGGAAAGAAAGATTTTATTTTTCTTAATTGAATACAAAGAAATTTACATTATGCAGATTTCTTGTAATCATTGCTGAATTTCTGAATCAGGTTCATTCTTCACTTTCTAGTCCTTTCTGTAAAGTAAAATTAAAAATAATAGTTAAAGGCTGATATACATAAATATATGGCTGATATTCATACTTTAATATGTATTAGTCAAAAATCTACTGTCAAAATAGCATTCACCGTTACTTATGCTTAAAAAGGTTAATCGACTTCAAGTAAGGGGCAGATGTACAACTGAATGCAAATATCCAAAAATCCCAATCTGTATTGTACCTCTCTATTATCATCTTCTCAAATATGCTAAGACAAGACACATTCTCCTTGATCACATGTTTTCCTTAATCAATGCATTCTGACACATCACCAGGGCAGGTAGGCCTTGAACTCTGGCCTGGAGGTGGGGATACTACCACTGCAGAGAAGACTGCCCCTTAGTACTTCCTATATTTATAATCAATTAATGAGATCATTGAAATGACTCAGTTCTCTTCTGTTGCAGGTGCTTTGTTTCCCTCGCTGCACTTTTATTTCATATTTGCGGCAAGTTTGGGGAAAAGATTTTTTGAGCTGAAAGGTGCAAGGGCAAGACTAACTAATTGGCAGACATCATTACATACTCTGCTACTTCCATATTCTGACCACTAGCTTGAACACTAAGTTTGAATTAATAATGCACACATTACCTTGCTTGCAAAATCACGACTTTTGGCCCTGAGTTTGTTGACCTGGGATTCTGCAATATCAGCACGTTCCTCTGCTTCTTCCAATTCATGTTGCACCTTCCTAAATTTGGTTAAGTGGACATTGGATTGTTCCTCCTGAAGAAAATAGTAGATAGAGTAGATGTGACCAGCCAAATATAAGCAATTACGCATACAGTTTTGAAAGTATCATATTTATCAAGCAAGCAACAGCAAACTAATTGGCAAAACATAAAATAGTACATTTGTTTATCTCTGCTAAGTAGCTTAAGAATTTCAAGGACACAAACTTTCAGCATCCATTCTTACCAATCTAACTGATTAGACAATCACCGGGAATGGCTTCACTTTCCAAGACTACATTCCTATGGTGGCCTCCTAGCATCAATCCTTAAATACTTCCAATTCTTCATTCACAGAATGGCCCTCAGGAACACAATGGTGCCACCCTGTTTATTGTTACCACTGCATCACAATCTCTCCAGCAATCTCTCCATTGTCACCAAATTGTTAAATCATGTATCTAACATCCAATAGTGGTTGAACACAAATTTTCACCAAGTATCAGGATAATGTTATCATGAGCCCCCACCACAAACTAATTTTTGATGTGAAGTGAGCTTTTAACCACATATATGTCTGAGCAATAAGACTCCCAATTTTCACCTCCATTATGTTGTCCAATCCTGTCCTTGCCTTAGATTATCTGCTGCTGACAACCTCATCCATGCCTTTGTCATCTATGGGCTTCACCACTGCAATTAACTCCTGACTTATCTCCCATTTTCTATCCTTCCATAAATTTGAGTTTATTCAAAATTCCACTCCCATGTCCTAACTTGCATTACATCCTGTTCCCCAATCCTCTTGTGTTCACAATACTGGATTCCAGTCCAGAAATTTGTCAGTTTTAAAGACATCATGGTTGTTCATAAAGTCTTGCGGGGCCTCACTCCTTTTTATCTCTGTAATTTCCTGCTGCAATGAAAATCTCTGAGATAACTATGCTCCTCTAATTAGAGCTCCTTATACATTATGATTTTAATCATTCCACCATTGGGGATTGTCTTTCAGATACTAAAGTCTGAGGCTTCAGAAGTTTCTCCCTAAACCTTTCCACCTTGGTAGTTTTCTTTAAGACAATGCTTAAAACCTATCCCTTTGATGACCTTTTTGGATATCCACCCTATTACTTCCTTGTACAGCTCAGTGTCAAAAATTCTAAGCATTGCAATTGACTCTTAACTGCTGTTTGAGCGACTAGGAATAGGCAACAAATACTGTCATAGCCAGTGACACAGATCACATTGTTGAAAAAAATAGTTGACATCATCTCTGCAAAGTACCATTGGATTTTCCAATGTTAATGGTGCTACACAAATACAGGTTGTGTTGATTTAAACTATTCTTTACAGTTTATTACATATTTACAATGAAGTAAACAATAGCTTTGGATAAATGCATAAACATAAGAGCATGGATGAAGATATATCGCATTTTCTTAGCTAAGTGCTTGCAGTTGAAAGCGTATTTATTACTTACAGCCTCCTCAGACTGCCTCTTGTAGGTTTTAACTTTCATTTGCAGTTTGTCAACCAGGTCCTGAAGTCTCAGATTATTCTTTCTGTCTTCCTCAGTCTGTGTTCAGAATTTGTGAACAGAAAGTTATAGACAATGAGTACCGTTGACATTACCATTTGTAAAGCTCTTCAGCTAAATGCCTGGATTAAATAGTTTACAGTTTTCAGACTAACTTACTTAGTTACAACTTAATTATTTACTAACAGCTCAGTGGTTTTGTTCTGAGGCAAATCAAACCAAGCAGGAAAATTCCAAGTTTGAATTGCTGTGCCTTTTTTTATTTCAAAAGTGTACTTTATTCATAAATGTATCTTTTTATACATACATAGTCACTAAGGTAGTTCCGTTCTGTACGGTAGCATATTAAGAAAACAAACAAACATCGGAGTTTGAATCTATCCAGCAAAGAAATCAAATATGTCTCTTACTTGTACAAGATTATATTTACATACATTTGAGGCTGTGCTTTTTACTTAGTTGATCAGAGCAACAGCAGTGGAGCAGAGTACTGTTTTTAGTTTAGGGACTGAGAGTCGTACATCAGCCAAGCTTCTACTCTCATGGTGACTGCTGTAAGTCTAATGTCTGTGACTGATAGGTCAGGTCATGTTAATACTCGGTGGAGATGGTTTAAAGCTTTACTCTGGGACTCTGTGACTAAACAACCATCACAGATCGCCTATCAAGAGATATACATGAATAACAATAATAATTTGGTGAGGAACCAAAGTGTACACAGATATTCACATCAAAGCAAACCCTCAGAAGAGTGAAAACTGATGAGAAACAAAAGATAAGACTTATGAATACAAGGTCTTTGAGTGGATAATTATATAAAATTACTGTTCCTGGTGGGCCTGACCTAGGGACCAGAAGGCTCCACCTTTTATTGCATTACATCTCAATCAAGTTTCATTGCTTACCTTTGGTTAGAGAAAGGAAAATCAGGAAAGTCTCCCATTCCTGTTACTATCCACTTTTGAGGAGGTATGAAGCATGGATGTCAAGTGAGAACAGAACTGGGCCAATTAGTTACTATTCATAATAAATAGCTGGTCAACACACACTGGCTGACACTTCTTACAAAGTGACTACAATACTTGGTTGAACTACAGAAGGGTGGCCAGTTTTTCTGGAATTGTGTTGCAACAAGAGTTAAAGGTTTAAAGAAGAAGAAGTGAGAATACCTTTAACTTAAAAAAGAAATTAAAGGTTAATTCAAATTACATCTCCCTACCTGGTACTGGAGTTCTTTGACCCTCCTTTCAAATTTACGTAGACCTTTAACTGCCTCTGCACTTCGCTTTTGCTCAGCTTCAAGTTCATTCTCAAGCTCACGTACCTACAATGCAAGTGAAATCATTTTCAACAAAAAGCTAAGAAAACCTGAATACATTTGTATTTGTTCCAGTAGAAGCATTGCAAGATTTTCTCTGTTGAAGATCACATTATTCTTAAAGACGAAGTATTAATGGATTGTGCCCTAATCTAGTTTGCATAATTCTTAAGACTTCATACCCTGGCCTCCAGTTTCTGGAGCTGTTTCTTTCCACCTTTCATAGCCAGCTGCTCGGCCTCATCCAGACGGAGTTGCAGATCCTTCACAGTCTGCTCCAGATTCTTTTTCATTCTTTCCAAATGAGCACTGGTGTCTTGTTCCTTTTTCAGCTCTTCCGCCATCATAGCAGCCTTATAATGACATTATGAAATATTGACAATATCAACAGACAGATAAAATGTGTTATAAAGAGAGCTGGTAAAATAATGTGAGATTACTATTAAAATTGAAACAGGGCCTTACATCTGTTATGGCTTTCTTTGCTTTCTCTTCTGCATTTCTTGATTCTTGAATAGCATCTTCAACTTCATTTTGAAGCTGGCTAATATCAGTTTCAAGTTTCTTCTTTGTGTTTATGAGGCTGGTATTCTGTTAGAAGCATTAATCAGAGATGCTATGGTCCACGTATCAAAATGTTGCACAGCTAATTCAGTCTGAAAGATTGCTGTTGTTTCACTTTACCTGGGTGTGCAGGAGTTGCACACGTTCACTTGCATCAACCAATTCCTGCTCAGCAATTTTGCGAGATCTATCTGTTTGTTCAAGGGCTGCTCTTAATTCTTCGATTTCAGCAAGCTGTAAGCTGCACCTCCGTTCAACCACAGCCAGTTGTTCCTTCAGATCATCTTGGCTTCGGAGGGCCTCATCAAGATGCAACTGGCATTCCTTAAAACAAGTTTGGTAATTGATATTAACAAATTGTATCTTAAAAATGCTCACATATAATCTAATTCTAGCCATCAGTACAATTAGGCATTATTGGTGTTTATTATTCCATTTTTATGTTGCAATCTTTTAATATAAGTTAACCCTGCAAGTTAAATAACAATGTGTCAATTGACAATACATTAAGTACATAGTTGAACTTTGCACATGAGATAAGTGGTCTCAATTTAAGGATGGACATATTTTACAACTTCTAAACAGCAGTCAAGGAAAATTGTGTACAAACATTAGAAATTCACCATAAAAGTCTTTGGTTTATTAGCACTAATTTATTATTACTGCATATTCTGAAGCGTCACAAACCTTGAACTGGACTTGCAAGTTTCGGAAATGTTTCAGAGCATCTGCTGCTTGACGGTTTGCATGGTTCAACTGAATTTCCATTTCATTCAAATCTCCCTCCATTTTTTTCTTGATCCTCAGGGCATCATTTCTGCTCCTAATTTCAGCATCCAGAGCAGTCTGCATTGTCTCCACTGTCCGCTGATAATTCCTTTTGATTTGCTCAATCTCTTCATCTTTTTCCGCAATCCGCCTGTCCACTTCTGATTTCACCTGGGTCAATTCCAGCTGAATACGCAGGATTTTACTTTCTTCATGCTCCAGAGATGCCTTTAAACGTATGACATAGGGCAACATCAAATATTTATTCAGGTAATAGATTACCGCAGCTGCTAGAAATGGTGGTGTAGTGGTAATGTAACTGGGCTAGTCAACCAGAGGCCTACACTAAAGGTCTGGGGACATGGGTTTAAGTCCAGAGCAGCTGGTGAAATATGAAACTCAATTCATATGTCTGGAATATAAAGCTAATGTCAGTAATGGTAACTTTGGCAACTTTCATAAACTGTGGTCTTGAGTTAGTTATCTGGCTCACTAATACCCTCTAGGGAGAGCAGCATGCTACCCTTTGTTGATGAGGCCTTCAAGTGACCAAAGAGCCACTGCAAGCCACTGAATTGAGGAGGCAACTAGAGATAGACAATCCCTGCTGGTGTTACTTGGTGAAACTCAGAAATCCTGAAAGAATATTTTAAAAATGGCTTGAGGAAAACATTTATGGAGTTGCAAATGATCAAACTATAACAGCCATCATAACATATAAAAAATTGGCTTATCAAAATTCTACTGTTCCCATGAGTTTGCGTTACAATATTTTATGGTAGTAATGTCATCAAAATGGTCAGCCTAGGCTGTCATAACTTCATTGTGAAACCAGCAGCAAATCCTGAAGTCCACAAATGCGGAGTTATACAGGAAAATCCAAAAACTGCTGCCAGTGATACTCTGCTTCTCTACAGAGTAGCCTGTTAAGATCCCTCCAAGGCTGAATCTATGAGAGATATTTGAAGTGATTAGAACTTTGACTCACATGCTGTTGAAATGTTTACACCATGGGTAAACAAGTTCATTGTTCCTGCTAGACAGCCTCACTGACCCTGGTAGAGTAGTTTTATTGCTGTTAAATGGCAAATTGCCCCATTATGTTAAGAAATTCCACATATTTTGAAAATAATATTCTTTTTAAAAGTTGTTTACAACCATTTTTTGTTTTCTGGCCTAATCTCATGTTTATATCCTAATTGTCTTTTATCTGTAAAATTGAAAAATTAAAAGCAAAAGGGTTCAGTTGTTTTCATTTCTTGGTTTGTTGTCTATGAGATTATATGATTGGCAATTTACCTTGTCTAATGACAGAATTGTTCCTAGTTTCCCACACTGACTTCGTGAGAAACTTGTGTTGCAGAAATCGCTAAATCTAACTTTTAGTAATGAACATAATGAGTAAAAAATGTGCAAATGTGTTCTTGTGATAACTTTCTCAGAGGTCAGAGAAGGCCAGAAAATCCAATTGATTAAAACTAATAATGATGTCCAAACAGACACAAGATTCACAGTGACAAGCCCCCAGCACTGATTGTTGGATTTACATTACTCCATCATTTTCTTTGCACTAACGGCACCTCACATTTAGCCCTCTCATTATTTTTAACAACATGCAATGTTTGCAAACTTATTGCTCATTAAAGTCATTAATAAAAGTTAGAGTTTCTAATTGATAGTATAATTTTTAGTGAGGTGATAATTGTTAACTCAGCTCCATTCAATCTCTTTGGCCAAGGATTCAAATAATTTAAAGTGTTCAATCTCACATTCATGTATGTAATCAATTTATAAAGATTAGTAAATTGTAATCTTCCATGCTGTCAAATTGCTTTTGTTCCATTCCTTTCAGTCTCTTTCATTAATCCAGTATTTCATTTCCCTCACCTATATGTCTTTCTATACTTGATCTAATGGTAATTCACCTTATTTCCTCTCAGCCCTTTCTCAATTTCTTTCATTTCCCTCACTTTATTTATCTCCCTATACCTGATATAATGGTAATTCACCTTATTTCCTCTCAGCCCTTTCTCAACATTTTTCTCAATACTTAAATATTCTTGGTTCAGTTTTGCTGATTCTTCCAATAACTAAAGTCTCAGATACTCATGTTGCCTCAACTTTAAATCACTAGCTCACACATCAAGCAAACTATGGCACAGATAATATTTGAGTTAATGAGTACAAGGAAGGGTCAAACTAAAGGTAAAAGTCACAAGCCTTTCTGCCTCCACAAAAATTCAATAAGTCCCAGTCAAAACCAGTAAACAAACCTCAGCCTCTTCTAATGCTGCATGAAGATCAGCTTTTTCCTGCTCAGCCAACTTTTTAGCTTTTTCCAGCTCATGGATAGTCTTTCCATTCTCACCAATCTGTTCAGTCAGATCTGAGATCTCCTCTGTTTAAAGAAATAAATATTTTTGCAAGTCAGTTATGAATAAATTTTCATTTAAGTTGAATGTCTATATGCTTGCTAGAGAGGACATTCCGTCTCTTAGTAGAACTCACGCTGCAGATTCTTATTCTCTCGTTTAAGAGTTTCCAGGTTATCTAAAGCTTCCTCATAAACATTCTTCATCTTGAACAATTCTGTACTTAGAGAACGAGATTCCTTCTGTGTTGCCTCCAGATCACTTTGGGTCTCCTCATATTTCTGCTTCCATTCTGCCAGAATCTAAGATGTCACAGGAATGCACAGTGAGCATGTTATTCAAAACTACACATAACTGAATCTAAATAACTCAACTTTTGCGACAATACCTTGTCAAAGTTTCTCTGCTTCTTATCAAGAGCGGCTGCAGCAGCATTAGCTCTCTCCACATCAATCATTAGATCTTCCACTTCTCCTTGCAAGCGCAGTTTTGTCTTTTCCAGTGAGGCACACTTAGAATTCACTGCTTCGACATTGTCCTCAGCGTCTTGGAGTCGCTGTGCAAGTTTTTTCCTGAAGATGATAACAATCACTCAACTGTTGCCAAAACAGCTAAAACATCACCCAAAGAAACCGTAAGCTAAAATTCTCTTAATGGACCTACTTGGCCTCTTCCAGTTCCTCTGTGCGCTGGATTGCATCAGTTTCGTATTTTGTCCTCCACTGAGCAACTTCACTGTTGGCCTTGGACATGCCGCGCTGGAGCTCGGCCTTTGCCTCCTGTTCCTCTTCATATTGTTCACGGAGCAAATCACAGTCATGGTGGGCGGATTGCAGAGCATGTGCCAAGGCACTCTTAGCCTGAAATATTTCAAATTGAAAGGAAATGGTTAAATATTACTGTTTAAAACAGTAAACACGAAAGAATCTTTTCCAAAGAAATAAAAGCAGTCCATGCAAGGATCAGTCCTTTTTCATCATGTATCTAAACAAATGCAAGGAATTATCATTCAGATAATGGGGCAGCACAGTGGTTCAGTAGTTAGCACTGCTGCATCACAGCACCAGGTTCAATTCCACCCTCGGGCAACTGTCTGTGTGAAGTTTGCACATTCTCCTCGTGTCTGCGTGGGTTTCCTCCCACATTCCAAAGATGTGCAGTTTATGTGGATTAGCCATGGGAAATACAGGGTTGCAGGGATGATGTGGGTGTGGGTGGGATGCTCTTCAGAATGTCATTGTGGGCTGAATGGCTTGCTTCCACACTGTAGGGATTCTATGATTTCTCTGAAATTAAATATCTGTAATATTTGAATTCATTCCTAAAATCAATCAAGTGTTTCAGAAATTAAATTCATAATTCACTAAATGGTAAAGTATGATTGTGCCACAGTTTTCACCTTAGTTTCTTCTTCCAACTGCCTCTTTAGCTCCTCAATTTGTTGAGTGAATGCTTGTTTCCCTCGAGTAAATTGTGAAATGAGGGCATCCTTTTCTTCAACCTGACGACTTAATTCCCCTTAAATTTAAAAGAAATACAATTGAACCAAAACAATTGGTAGTGATGACCCTGGTCTTCTGCTGAGATATTTATCTTAAGTACCTCATCTCACAGAACTGTACATGAATCTCAAGAAGACATGAAAGTGGTCAGTATCAAGCTAGTTTTGCACCACATATGGTTGCAAGCCATCAATGTACGTGGTGAACCATTATTGTAAGACATGTAGAAAAAGATAGTATGGATACAAAACATCCAAAGTAGGTAATAAATGAGAATATAATCTCAAATTGGAACTTCAGGCAATCATGAAGTTTACGAAAGACATACCACTTTCTGTCTGTAATCGAGCTCGTTGTGTTGATATGTCATTCACAAGACGCGTTTGTTCTTCATGTTTTGCTTTTATTTCATTAAGTTGGTCCTCAAGAGTTCGACAATTCTTCTCAAGATTACCCTGCAATTCAATTATTTATGGCACATAAACAGTGTGTATATACAGTAATAACTTGTCTGCAATACTTAGAACAGAAAGACAATTTGTGACATACCTTTAATTTAGAAACCGTTTCCATGTTGCTAGCCAGGTCATCAATTTCCATCTTCAGCTCACTCT